TTAATAGGAAGCCAAGAGAGGGGAAATGCAGCACAGGTTCGTTCTTGGATTTAGGGAAATGGCGGAGGTAAGCGCAGGGGATTTGGATATGGTGACGCGGAGGGATAATGTTGGAGGGGGTGAGGTGGGTATGGTGTGGGTGTAGTGCTGGAGGGTGTGTGGTGTATGGTGTGGGTATTGTGTTGGGAGGTGTGAGGGGGGTATGGTGTGGGTATTGTGTTGGTGGGTATGTGGTGTATGGTGTGGGTATTGTGTTGGAGGGGGTGTGAAGTGGGTATAGTGTGGGTATTGTGTGGGAGGGTATGTGGTGTATGGTGTGGGTATTGTGTTGGGAGGTGTGAGGGGGCTATGGTGTGGGTGTAGTGCTGGAGGGTGTGTGGTGTATGGTGTAGGTATTGTGTTGGAAGGGGTGTGAAGTGGGTATGGTGTGGGTATTGTGTTGGAGGGTGTGTGATGTATGGTGTGGGTTTTGTGTTGGGAGGTTTGAGGGGGTATGGTGTGGTTATATTGATGGAAGATATGAGGTGGGTATTGTGTTGGAAAGTGTGAGCTGGGTATGGTGTGGGTATAGTGTTAGAGCCTATGAGGTTGGTACAGTGTGGGTGTAAAGTTAGAAAATATAGTAAGGTGGTATATGGCTCAGCTATAGTGTTGGAGGATATAGTTTGGGTATAGTGTTGAATGTATACATGCTTATTGTGTTGGAAGGTATACTTATCATGAGTTCAATCTAAGAAGATCAAATTTGAAAATATTTTGGGTATAGTGTGGATAGCTTGAGTTTCATATTGGAGAGTTATGGTCTGCTCGGTGGGTACAGTGCACAAATGCCGACTCATGGGCGTTCTTGAATTCCTGCGTGTGTGTGCTTCTTAATAGGCAGGGATATAGGAATGGTTATCTATGTTTGCGCAGATTGGGAGGACAAATTTACACAAGTGGTTACGCACGGGCACACGCACACACACGCACATACATACATACACACACACACACACACACACACACACACACACACACACACACACACACACACACACACACACACACACACACACACACACACACACACACACACACACACACACACACACACACACACACACACACACACACGCATTCACACACACACACACACACACACACACACACTAACTTACACATAAACACTGACTTACACATACACATAAACACGCACATAAATATACACTTAGACAGGTGTACACATCAGCGAAATGGAAAACGAAGACGGAGATCCAATAGCTATCGGTTATTACCATAAAGTTGAGAGTGTACCATATTGTAGTTCAAATCGATCAAAATGTTTTCGATATTCTGTCTTATTTATTTTCTTTTTTAAGACAAAAAACACTATTTCTTTTTCCTGATTCGTATTTATTTTTTTCCTTGTTGCTTATATAAAAGATACGTACAAATGTATATGAGAGAGAGAGAGAGAGAGAGAGAGAGAGAGAGAGAGAGAGAGAGAGAGAGAGAGAGAGAGAGACAGAGAGAGAGAGAGAGAGAGAGAGAGAGAGAGACAGACAGACAGACAGACAGACAGACAGACAGAAAGACAGACCGACAGACAGACAGACATATATAGAGAAAGAGTTAGGCAGACATATAGAAGCAGAGGGAGACAAACAGAGACAAAGGGAGATAGACAGACAGAAATAGAAAGACATACATATCGCCATACAGAGAGACAGACACACACGCCCGCACACACGCACGCACGCACGAGGTCCCCCACCGACACCCTTTATGCAAGGAGACCAGAAAACGGTCTCTCTCACCCGCAGCAACTTACGAGACATAACCTGCCTTTTATGCGCTCGTCTCCGCAGATCTTATATATATATCCCGACGCTTTAATCTCAAGAAACGATACGAGGGAGGGAAGGAAGCAAGCCGTAAATGAAGAAGAGATTACCCCTCACCCCCTCCTCCTCTTTTCCTCCCTCCTTCCTTCCTTCCCCTTTCTCCCTCACCCCTTTTCCCTCCTTCCTCCCTCGCTGCTTCCTCCTCTTTTTTTTCCCTCACCCCTTCCTTCCCTTTTCCCCCTCGTCGCTTCCCCAAATTTCCCCTCACTCCTCCTACCCTCTTCCCTCTTTTTCCCATATCTTTAATTCCCCCACGGCTATTTTTCTCCATTTTACTATACCCTAATGCCTCTTTTTCCTTCCCTTCCCCCCTTTCCCCTCACCTTCCCCCCTTTTCCTTTTCTCTCCGCTCTTCCTCTCCCTTTCCCCTCACCTTCACCACTCCCTTTCTCCCTTTCTTCTCACCCTCTTCATTCTTCTTTCTCCACTCCCCCTTCGCCTTTCCCCTTACCCCCCCCCTTTCCCTTTGCTCTCTACCCTTCCTCTCCCTTTCCCCTCACCTTCACCACTCCCTTTCTCCCTTTCTTCTCACCCTCTCCACTCCCCCTTCTCCTCTCCCCCTCCCTCCCTCCCCCTACCCATCACACAGGCTTCCCGCAAGTGTCATATTCTCGGCGAGACGACCGTCGATTGCGGGAGCTATGATTAACTGCTCATTAACCTCATGGGGGGGGTATGGGGAGGGGGGGTTAGGAAAGGAAGGGAGGAAGGAGGAAGATAGATCATTATATTTTTTTCTCTCTTTTTTTCTTCTTTCTTTTTTTTTAGGTTGGCCTCGAAGGGTCGATGGAAAGACGATGAGAGGTGATTGGATGGTAGGACATTGATGGGTCTTGAGAGGGTGGGGGGGAGGACAGAGGATAGGGAGGGAGGGAGGGAGGGTCAGAGAATAGGGAGGGAGGGAAGGATTGAAGGGCAGAGGATAGGGAGGGAGGGAGGGAGGGAGGGAAGGGCAGAGGGTAGGGAGGGAGGGAGGAAGGGAGGGACAGAGGATAGGGAGGGAGGGAGGGAGGGAGGGAGGGAAGGAGGGAGGGAGGGAAGGACAGAGGATAGGGAAGGAGGGAAGGATTGAAGAGCAGAGGATAGGGAGGGAGGGAGGGAAGGGCAGAGGATAGGGAGGGAGGGGTAGTTGGTGAGGGGAGGGGAGAGAGGTAGCTGGTTGGTAGGGAGAGGCAGAGACAGGGAAGAAGAGAAGACGTGGAAGAAATGCCGGAGGGGGAAGGAAGGAGAGAGAATGAAATAGAGGGAACGGTGATAATGAGTGGAAGAAGGATTGAAAAAAGTGACGATAAAAAGGGTGGATAATGGGGAAGAGAGAAAGAAAGAAGGTTTGGAAGGGAGAGGAGGGTGGGAGAGGGATGACTGGTGGAAGTGAAATGGAAGAGAGAGGAGGAAGGAAAAGTATGGATGGGATGTTGAAAGAGAGAGTGAGGGAGAGGGAGGGGGGGGGGGGAGAAGTGGGGCGAGTCTTTAGGGAGAGCATAGAGGGGAGGGAAGCAGGCAGGGAAAAGGCAAACCGGTGAGAAGAAGCGAGAGAGCACGAGAAAGTGCGAGAGAGAGAGAGAGAGAGAGAGAGAGAGAGAGAGAGAGAGAGAGAGAGAGAGAGAGAGAGAGAGAGAGAGAGAGAGATAGAGAGATAGATAGAGAGAGAGAGAGAGAGAGAGAGAGAGAGAGAGCAAGAGAGCCCGAGAGAGAGAGCAACAGATCGAGTTGGAGGAGAAGAAGAGAGAGGGCGTGGCGAGACGGGCAGGGAAAGGCGGAGAACGGAAGTGCCGACAGGTGCGTAGAGGGGGGGGGGGGGGAGGATCGGTAATAGAGGCGGCAAAAAAATTAATATTGAGTATGGATGGAACTTGATCCAAAGGGGGGGGGGGGGCGAGGAGAGGGGTAACTACTGTAGGTGTAGATTCAGCTGTAGATTCAGAACTAAATAAATCATTAAGTATAAGCCAAGATGTAGATTAGTTGAAAGTGTAAATACGAATATGAAAATGCATATGAAGATACTAATAGATGTAGAAGCATAATTATTGATATTATTAGTTTCAAGATCATTTCATATTCATTTTCCTTCCTATATTTATCAATATCATCGTGATTTATCATTATTATTATCACTACTACTGCTGTTACTTTTATTTCTACTGCTGCTGCTACTGATAATAAAAATGATATTATAATTATTATCATTGTCACTGTCATCATTATCATAAAAATATTAATAATGATAATAATAAGATTCATAATAACGAAAATAATGATAATGAAGATAATGATAATAACTGTTGTTATTATTATCAATACTATCAGCATCAAAATTACTATTATCATTAAACCTATCATTATTACCATTTTTATTGTTATTATTATTATTATTATCATTATTATTATTATTATTATTATTATTATTATTATCATTATTATTATTATTATTATTATTATTATCATTATCATTATTATTATTATTACTATTATTATTATTATTATCATTATTATTGTTATTATTATTATTATTATTATTATCAGCATCATTATTAGTATCAATATTATCATTATCATTCTTATCATTGGTAACATTGTTATAATAATAATGTCACTATCATTGACATTATTATGATCATTATTGTCATTATCATTATGATCATTATTATCATTATCATTGTTAATATCATTATCATTATTTTTGTTATTACTATTATTATTATTATTATCATCATTGTTATTATTATCATTAGTGTTATAATTATTATTGCTATTATCATTATTATTATTATCATTGTTGTCATTATCATTATCATTATTACTATTACTATCATTATTGTTATTATTATCATCATTATTATTATCACTATTATTATGATTATTTACATTATTACTAGTATAATTATTATCATTATTATTACTATTCTTATGATTATTTACACTATTACTAGTATAATTATTATCATTATTATTATCGATTTATTATTATATCATTATTATTATCATTATTATCATTATTATTATGTTATTATAATATTAATGTTAATATTAATAATGATAATGATAATAATAATGATGATGATAATAATAATAATAATAATAATAATAATAATAATAATAATAATAATAATAATAATAATAATAATTGTTATTACTGCTACTACTATTGTTATTATCATTATTATCATTATCATAGTTATAATTATTATTTTTGTTTTCATCACCATTATTAATATTACTAATATTGTCATTATTATTATCATTTTTATTATTAATTTTATTATTATCATCATTAACATTACCATTATCATTATTATTAATATTATTATTATCATTATCATCCTTATTATCCTTATCATTATTTATTCTTACTATTATTAACATTATTACTATCACTATTATCATTATCATTGTTTATATTGTTATCATTATCATTATTATTATTAGCATTATAACCATCAAAATGTTATTATGATTATTATCATCAATATCATCATTTTCATCATTATCATCATTACCATTATTATCATCATAATTATTATCATTATCATTATCCTCATAATGATTATTATCCTCATTACTCTCATATTTATCATTAGCATTTTTCTTCTTATTATTAACATCATTGCTTATATGTTTAATAATCAAAATCTATTCGATCACATAACCTCAATCTGCACGATGATTTAGTTCATATCAGGTTTCCATCCCTGTCCCTATAAACTCACGTGAATCACATTCTCTATCGTGCATGTAAGTGATGTATATTCTATTGAAATTACAAATTCCACTTATGTGCCCATCCATTTTTCATTGCTTGCAGCATAAATTATTGTACGGCCCTCTGTCTCAT